ACACAAAGGTAAGTGCGACTAAACAGTATAATACGTCACGACTTGTTAAACACAGGTAAGTGTGACTGAAGAATACGATACGTCACAAATGGCAACACAAAGGTAGGTTTGACTAAACAATAGTATACGTCACGACTGGCAACACAAAGGTAAGTGTCACTAAATAATATGATACGTCACGACTGGTTACACAAAGGTAAGTGTGACTAAACAATATAATACGTCACGGCTGGTAACACACAGGTCAGTGTGACTAAACAATTTAATACGTCACGGCTGGTAACACACATGTCAGTGTGACTAAACAATATACTACGTCACGGCTGGTAACACACAGGTCAGTGTGACTAAACAATTTAATAGGCCACGACTGACAACATAAAGGTAAGTGTGACTAAAGAATGTGATACGTCACGACTGGCAACACAAAGGTAAGTGTGACTTAAGAATGTGATACGTCACGACTGGTGAAACACAAGTGTGAGTGACTAAAGAATAAAATACGCCACGACTGACAACAACGGTAAGTTTGAATAACTATATGATACGTCACGACTGGCAACACAAAGGTAAGTGTGACTAAACAATATAATACGTCACGGCTGGTAACACACAGGTAAGTATGACTACACAATATATTACGTCACGGCTGGTAACACACAGGTCAGTGTGACTACACAATATAATACGTCACGACTGGTGACACACAGGACAGTGCGACTTAACAATATAATACGTCGCGACTTGCAACACAAAAGCAAGTGTGACTTAACAATATAATACGTCACGACTGGTAACACCTGGTTAATGAGATAACATAGTTGGTAAATAATGTAGCTTCCCCGCCAGCACGATTGGTTATAGACAGGTTACTGTGATTAAACATGAATTGTGTGATGTCAGGTAACATACAGTTTAGTATGACTATACACAGCTCAGAATGACTACACCCAGGTAACATGAAAACGTGGGCAAGCTAATACGTCGAACTTTTCAGATGGATCTGCTAAATACATGTTACGGACATGTTGTATGTACTGTGAAAATAATATGTTCGGGTTAAGTGATGTGTAATACCAGTAATGTATCTGTATTTTCAATTCTCTTCAGTAAACTCATTTCATCACTCACTCGCTGCGTTATGAAGGATAGATATGTATTATATTCCGATTATGTACATTGTATCTTCTACAGGAGACATAGGGCACTACGACGAGGAAGGGTACATCTCAATCACGGAAAGGCTTAAAGAGCTCATTAAGTACAAGGGATTCCAGGTATTGTAAAACGGAATTAACCCAAAGGTTCCCACATCAAAACGTCATGATAAAGAGTTCCCCTAATTTCTCATATTAAAGATGGCGGCCCCAGTTATATTTCCTATATGTTGGCTCCTTGTGTACATAACGGTGATCTCCGCTTGTTAAAAAGTAGATAGATTTTCAAGTTCCAAGAAGTTTCGAACGACAGGAACTAACGTTATAATGTGGTCCAGTCTTTTAAATTGGGCGCCGCCATCGCGTCAAGCATAAGATTTCAGACTCAGATTCTCTATACAATGTAGGTATCGGTTACTGGAATTTCTTCTGAAGACACTTGTGAATAACTGTCCATTCAAGTATAAAACCTGGCTCTGAATGTATCTTGTGATATAAATTAGACATTCACATTTTTTTTATTAGATTATAATTAGATTATAAGTATTAGATAATAATTCGACTTCCTTCTAAAGTATCTGTCTGTGACTTTGAAATTAATTCTTGATATATATTTTCACTCACAAGTTGTTACAACATGTGCCAATTTATGCCGTCTATCTTTACAATGTTGTTTTCTTTGAGATGATTGACATAGTCGATGGGTCGTATACAAAAACGTCTACAATTCCTCCTTGATAGATATTATTAACTTATTCTGAGGTTCTGACACGATCTCTCTGTAACAATCTTGTAGTCTTATTGAACTCTTGTGCCAATGTTCTACATATTTATCTTGATTTTGTTTAAATCGTTAATGCACATTTAAATGCAAAAGAAGCCTAAATACGATTTAAATACGCTATTTAATGGTCGCAATCATGTTCTGGTTGAGAGAAAAAAAGCTATTTCCTTTGTTTGCTATAAAGGTCGATGCACTACCCCAGTTCTCGGTATGAACAATTAAGCATTGAATAGCGTGCATTATGTTATTTGCTTGCAAAGCTGTGTCATTCAAATAGATCATAAATACCATACAAAAACAGTTCAAAACTTATTTTCTCTGCCTCTTATGTTCTTTTTTTAACTTATAATTTATATTTAAAATTTAAAATGCCCGCCTTATCGACAGTCCACAAAATTTCGTTCAATAATTTGAACAGCGTGTTTGTCGCGTGCTGATTGGCAAACAAAGTAGTACTTTGAAATTTTAACAAACACTTCAATGTTATTCCACAATTCAGTATAAATACAATTGCGTATGAAATGCCTATAGGGTGATTTAAGTTTATCAATAGAACTCTGAGTTGAAAGTTAGATTTGAAATTGTTTCGATTTTTCTCCGGATCAAATTTAGCGCATGGATAAATACAGTGAAAACCGTAAATCCGACCTTGCCCTCCACGAGGGAGTTATTTTTGGAAGTTAATTCGAACTTTTCTCTTTGCTCATTTTGTGAAGAATCCAGACGTGAATTCATTTGTTGATTGTGGGGCCTATGGGAATCTGACTACAGTCTGTAGATTCTATAACAGCCTAGTTATTTGATATGTCGTCAGAAACTGAGGAAACAGTGGCTGCCAGACGCGTGAAACTGATAGCGTTTGAAGTGAGTGATCTTGCGACGGAGCACAGGGGTTCATTACAAATGTCTGAAATGTTTGTGTGCTGTGACTCATATCAGTAGGTCTGCAACATATGTGTCAGTAGGTCTATAAACTATGTGTATTTCAGACATTTGTAACGAACCCCTGTTGATCAGTGCAGTGTAATAGACGATATTTTTGATAAATTGCATGAGCGTTAAAATTGTTTTCATTGCCGGCATTGGTGATTTCAACCGATGTGCATTTTGTCCGATATTGCAGACCTTGGTCTTGTTTTTGTTGTAATAAAAGTATTTTTTGTTTTATTTTTTATTTTGCACATAAATTTATAATGACNTTATTTTTTATTTTGCACATAAATTTACAATGACATTGCCAAATCTAACAATGTCTAGCGATATTTCAGCAGCCGTCATGTTTATTTACATTGGATATTGTAGTTCCGGTCAGTGTTGTATTAATACGCTAAGAATTATGTCTCGTGCTGCATGGTAATTAAAGTCCCTTCAACGACACAGCTTTCAAAGAGGCTATATAGTGACAACACCATGCAAATGTAAATATATAACATTAGTTTTATTTGACCTAGAGTTACATGGCGAGTGTCGTCGAAACATTAATGGACCTCGTCATCTATTGACACTGGCCTATTATAATATTAGCTCCTAGGTCACCAAACATTACCATAACACCTTTCACTCACCCAACCCCAACTTCTGTCAATGCATTTTCAAATTAAGCACACCTTTTATTGGTTATCTGTTTCAGGTGCCCCCTGCGGAGCTTGAGGCGTTGCTACTGACCCACCCGTGTGTACAGGATGCGGGTGTTATCGGGTTGAAGGCCGGGGAGGACGTAGGCGAGGTACCACGCGCCTTTGTCGTCACCAAACCCAACACACAACTCGCAGAGGAAGACGTCACTAAATTTGTGGAGGGTAAGTTTACTGTTCGTCGCTCAGTAAATGCAAAACTGAAAAAAAACGCTTTACAAAGAAATTTGACGTTTTCGAACGCTTGCAAAACAGTTTTCAATCACTGTTTGTGTTCAAAATAAACCTTTCACCTAGCCAGGGACATTATACGTCCCTGACATAGCAAAGATGATTTATAACCAAAGACAATGGAAAGTTCAACATTCACTCAGGGTCGGTTATCAGTTTACTGTCGTGCATTCGGTTAGTAAGCAGTTACATCAAAACATTGAGGTTTCAAGGACATGTATGACGTCATCAATGTGATGAGGCTTTGATTAACAGGGTTTGAACAATTAAATTGTTATCATATAAATACTGCAATGGCATCGTAGATTGCAATTGTTAACAAACTTTTACTAAAACAATGATTAGTATTCTTAAATGAAAATCTTCAGTATGATCAATACCACCCACCCACCCACCAAACTTTACGGCAAAACAATATGCGGCGGTCGTGCTGCGATCGTGCTTAAAGGCCCGGTCACACAGCCCTCCACGGGCGTATCGCGGCCGAATCACGGCCAAACATTTCTGCCCGTGAAGCAGACGCTGTTTGACGCTTTGAGGTCGCGATAAAGACGCGATACAGCCGTACTTTACCCGTCGTTACACGCGGTAAGAAATTCACACGCGGTTGGCCGCGCGAAAAAGTTTTGGGCTGCCCAAAAATTTGGGTAATCGGGGGCGGTACACGTGGTACACACGCGGTAAAGATGCGGTACAGACGCGGAACGAACGTGCTAGGACGTGCTACGGCCGCGGTTAAGACGTGGTTACACGGTGTAAGACGCGAAATTTTAGCGGGTAATCGCGGGTGGAGCACGGTCATAGCACGTTTGTTCCGCGTCTGTACCGCGTTGTTATCACGTGCATTAGCGTGTGTACCGCGTGTAAACACGGACAAACGCCTTACAAACAAACAGCGCGCCCCAATACCGGCCTAATCACGTTCAATTGCGTCTTGTACACGTCCCAAATACGATTGTCCACGGCCTAATCGCGTCCGTACAACGTCTGATTTTAGGTATATAAAAAGCGCGATTTGCCGAGCATTCGTCAGTTGTGCTCCAGACGTCAAGGGGTGAACATGGATCCCCGTCACCGTAATGACCTCGTCTTGCTGCTCCAGCTGCTGTGTCTTGAGCGTTTATGATTTCTACAGCCCGGTTCGGCTGCTTTATTATACCCGTGGTAGGCCGCGGTACCGCCGCGCTTCACCCGCGATAAGGACGCGGAACAGTCGCCGGCGTCTGTTCCGCGGGCATACCACGGGTAAACCGCGGGTAAGCCAATTTTGCACATTTTCCACCACGGGCAACCGCGGGCAAAAAAAAATCGCGAAATTTTACCCGCGATACAGACGCGAAAGGCTGTGTGACCGGGCCTTTAGGAATGTACTGCAGACCTGGTCAATATATATATATTCTCATTAGTTTTGTAACCTCGCTTCTTCCCCTTCCTCACTTAGTTTCCGTACGTGTGTCCCGATACCTATATATCACCAATCCCTTTGATAACACTAACATAGTAGTGACAGATGATGAAATTATAGCAATGTTAAACTGTTCGTGTTTTAAAGAGACGTTGTCGAGTATTAACGGAGGTACACTTACTGTCTTGTAGAAAATGTGACACACTACAAGCGACTGAGGGGAGGAGTGAAGTTTGTAGACGCCATTCCCAAGACCGCCAGCGGTAAAATTCTCCGCCGTCAGCTCAGGGATCTTTAACTGCCGAATGCAGCAATGTGACATGTGTAGATGTTGTATAGTACAAACTCCGTCATCATTTATATATACCAACTACGTCGTCATGTTTCATCCGGAAAATGCTGAGAGTTCTGTCATACTCGACATTACATACAGATTTAAAAATCCAGTGCCGTCAAAAATAGGAACCAATTCTCAAGAAATATTCAATGTGTATGCGAATATTATGGTGGAACATATAACGAGGGTGAGAAACTAATTAACTAAGGCCGCTTGCGGCTTGAGTTGATTTTTTTATGCGCATGTTCGAATCCAGAGTTATATTCTACCATGTAAAATGTGACGAAGGTCTTTTTCTCGTCTACCTCAGTGGCCTAAAACTTTGAGAAACAAGGTGACCTAGATAATCTAATCATTAAAATTAAGCTGTCCTTTGTGCGCGCTATCATTTGTCACGTGATGCCTTTATGTCTTTATTTCACAACAGTCTGATCGTTTTTATCATTTCTAACCCTGTAGGCGGTGTCCTATTTTGTCTATTTAACCTGGATACATTTGGATTTCTTTTTTTAATTTTCGGTCGCCATTCAATCCACAGATGATAAACAATAAACTCTGACTGACGTCTTGCTTTATGCCAGATATTTATTTCAATCAATCAAATTCACCAATCTATTGAAATCGCTCGTCAACAAATGGAATCATCATTTGACAGATTTGCAATCACTATTTCAAGTCATCTTCGTGGTACTGTAAATTCAACGGAACATTCTGACCATGAGTGTCACAAGTGATTTATAAAGTGTTATTTTGTGTCATACAGGCGGAACATGTATTATCTTGAGTGTCATGTATGGTACACGATCTGTTATACCGAGTGTCATGTATGGTACACGATCTGTTATGCCGAGTGTCATGTAGGGGACAGGTTGTGGTATGCCGAGTATCATGTATGGTACACGACGTGTTATGTCGAGTGTCATGTATGGTCCACGATCTGTTATGCCGAGTTTCATGTATCGTACACGACGTGTTACGCCGAGTGTCATGTATGTAACACGATGTGTATGCCGAGTGTCATGTATGGGACACAATCTGTTATGCCGAGTGTCCTATATGGTACACGATGTGTTCTGCCGAGTGTCATGTACGGTACAGATTGTGGTATGCCGGGTGTCATGTATGGTACAGGTTGTGGTATGCCGAGTATCATGTATGGTACACGACGTGTTACGTCAAGTGTCATGTATGGTACACGGTGTGTTATGCCGAGTGTACCATGTGGTAAGGATGTGTTATGCCGATTGTCATGTATGGTACACTATCTGTTATGCCGAGTGACATGTATGGTACACGATGCGGTATGCCGAGGGTCATGTATTGTCCACGATGTGTTATGCTGAGTGTCATGTATGGTCCACGATGTGTTATATCGAGTGTCATGTATGGGACACAATCTGTTATGCCGAGTGTCCTATATGGTACACGATGTGTAATGCCGAGTGTCATGTATAGTACACGATGTGTTATGACGAGTGTCATGTATGGTTCACGATGTGGTTACGATGTGTTATGCCGATTGTCACATGTATGGTACACGATGCGGTATGCCGAGGGTCATGTATTGTCCACGATGTGTTATGTCGAGTGTCATGTATGGATCACGATGTGTTATGCCGGGTGTCATGTATCGTACACGACGTGTTACCTCGAGTGTCATGTATGGTTCACGATCTGTGATGCCGAGTGTCCTGTATGGTACACGATGTGGTTAGGATGGGTTATGCCGAGTGTCAGGTATGGTACACGATGTGTTTAGGATGTGTTATGCCGATTGTACCATGTGGTTAGGATGTGTTATGCCGAGTGTCATGTATGGTTCACGATCTGTTATGCCGAGTGTCCTGTATGGTACACGATGTGTTATGCCGAGTGTCATGTATGGTACACGACCTGTTATGCCAAGTGTCATGTATGGTGCACGATGTGTTATGCCGAGTGTCATGTATGGTACACGATCTGTTATGCCGAGTGTCATGTATGGTACAGGATCTGTTATGCCGAGTGTCATGTATGGTTCACGATCTGTGATGCCGAGTGTCCTGTATGGTACACGATGTGTTATGCCGAGTGTCATGTACGGTACAGGTTGTGTTATGCCGAGTGTCATGTATGGTACACGATCGGTTATGCCGAGTGTCATGTATGGTACACGATGTGGTTAGGATGTGTTATGCCGAGTGTCATGTATGGTACACGACCTGTTATGCCGAGTGTCATGTATGGTACACGATCTGTTATGCCGAGTGTCATGTACGGTACAGGTTGTGGAATGCCGATTGTCATGTATGGTACACGATGTGTTATGCCGAGTGTCATGTATGGTACACGATCTGTTATGCCGAGTGTCATGTATGGTACACGATCTGTTATGCCGAGTGTTATGTATGGTACACGATCTGTTATGCTGAGTGTCATGTATGGTACACGACGTGTTACGTCGAGTGTCATGTATGGTACACGATGTGTTATGCCGAGTGTCATGTATGGTACACGATCTGTTATGCCGAGTGTCATGTATGGTACACGATGTGTTATGCCGAGTGTCATATATGGTACATGATGTGTTATGCCGAGTGTCATGTATGGTACACGACGTGTTACGTTGATTGTCATGTATGGTACACGACGTGTTACGTCGAGTGTCATGTATGGTACACGATGTGTTATGTCGAGTGTCATGTATGGCACAGGATATGTTATGCCGAGTGGCATGTATGGTACACGATCTGTTATGCCGAATGCCATGTATGGTACACGATCTGTTATGCCGAGCGTCATGTATGGTACACGGTGTGTTATGCTGAGTGTCATGTATGGTACACGATGTGTTATACCGAGTGGCATGTATGGTACACGACGTGTTACGTCGAGGGTCATGTATGGTACACGATGTGTTATGCCGAGTGACATGTATGGTACACGATGTGTTATGCCGAGGGTCATGTATGGTACACGACGTGTTACGTTGAGTGTCATGTATGGTACACGACGTGTTACGTCGAGGGTCATGTATGGTACACGATGTGTTATGCCGAGTGACATGTATGGTACACGATGTGTTATGCCGAGGGTCATGTATGGTACACGACGTGTTACGTTGATTGTCATGTATGGTACACTACGTGTTACGTCGAGTGTCATGTATGGTAAACGATCTGTTATGCCGAGTGTCATGCATGGTAGACGACGTGTTATGCCGAGGGTCATGTATGGTACACGATGTGTTATGTCGAGTGTCATGTATGGAACACGATCTGTTATGCCGAGTGTCATGCATGGTAGACGACGTGTTATGCCGAGGGTCATGTATGGTACACGATGTGTTATGTCGAGTGTCATGTATGGTACACGACGTGTTACGCCGAGTGTCATGTATGGTACACGATCTGTTATGCCGAGTGTCATGCATGGTAGACGACGTGTTATGCCGAGTGTCATGTATGGTACACGATGTGTTATGCCGAGTGTCATGTATGGTACACGACGTGTTATGCCGAGTGTCATGTATGGTACAGGATCTGTTATGCCGAGTGTCATGTATGGTACACGATGCGTTATGCCGAGTGGCATGTATGGTACACGATGTGTTATGTCGAGTGTCATGTAGGGTACACGATCTGTTATGCCGAGCGTCATGTATGGTACACGATGTTTTATGCCGAGTGTCATGTATGGTACACGATGAGTTACGTCGAGTGTAAGGTATGGTACACGATCTGTTATGCCGAGTGTCATGTATGGTCCACGATTTGTTATGCCGAGTGTCATGTATGGTCCACGATTTGTTATGCCGAGTGTCATGTATGGTACACGACGTGTACGTCGAGTGGCATGTATGGTACACGATGTGTTATGCCGAGTGTCATGTATTGTACACGATCTGTTATGCCGAGTGTACCATGTGGTTAGGATGTGTTATGCCGAGTGTACCATGTGGTAAGGATGTGTTATGCCGATTGTACCATGTGTCATGTATGGTACACGATCTGTTATGCTGAGTGTCATGTATGGTACACGATGTGTTATACCGAGTGTCATGTATGGTACACGACGTGTACGTCGAGTGGCATGTATGGTACACGATGTGTTATGTCGAGTGTCATGTAGGGTACACGATCTGTTATGCCGAGCGTCATGTATGGTACACGGTGTGTTATGCTGAGTGTCATGTATGGTACACGATGTGTTACGCCGATTGAACCATGTGGTTAGGATGTGTTACGCCGAGTGTACCATGTGGTTAGGATGTGTTACGCCTAGTGTACCATGTTGTTAGGATGTGTTTTGCCGATTGTACCATGTGGCTAGGATGTGTTACGCCGAGTGTACCATGTGGTAAGGATGTGTTATGCCGAGTGTACCATGTGGTTAGGATGTGTTATGCCGATTGTACCATGTGGTTAGGATGTGTTACGCCGAGTGTACCATGTGGTTAGGATGTGTTATGCCGAGTGTACCATGTGGTTATGATGTTTTTCGCCGAGTGTACCATGTGGTAAGGATGTGTTATGCCGATTGTACCATGTGGTTAGGATGTGTTATGCCGAGTGTACCATGTGGCTAGGATGTGTTATGCCGATTGTACCATGTGGCTAGGATGTGTTATGCCGAGTGTATCATGTGAAAGATGAGGCGCAGACTTTGACGTAGTGTTGGTGTCAGTGTCTGTTCAGTTACTGTTTTATAATTTAGTAAATTTCGATATATAATTTTGTTTCATAAGTTGACGCTGGGGTACCAAGTATTATACACTGTCTACCAGTGTAGTAAAATACTCCCAAATTAATTACGTGGTGTGAATGCGTCTACACTTTATTTAAATACTCATTAGCATGTGACGTCATCTATCACGTGTCATTATAGATATCAGTAAGGAAATCCTATTAACACATATATTTACGTCAACATGTTTAAACGACAATCAAGATGATCAAGTGTGTTTTATTAAACAGTAAACATACCCAAAGAATCCCAATAATCTTTTGTTTTATTTTGGTTCACACAAAGAAATGATCATTTTCGTAGGAGTTTTGTGTATTTACATTAAATATCATCTTTTGGTCGTATACAGCTCCTTCGAAGCTTATATCTATTTGGGTATGGTACCTTTAAAAACTACACTATTGTTATTACTCGTACAGTTTCGGGAAATGAATATCCTTGCTGTACCGAACTACCTAATCGTAAAAGGCGACAACTATGCCCTCACTGCCACTGCAAAATCGAGGATGTTTTCCCCGTGTCTTCTGTTTGAAGAAACCGTTTGAATAGAACTGTTGTTCTGTTGCTAGCCAATCAGATGTCATCCTAGATTTTCGGATCGGCACTATTTGTAAGAACACTCGTTTCTTCCAAGTTTGAAGTCAATCAGTCCATCTTTGATAGTAACATAGGCACGCCACTAGTTGGGAACTTCATAAGGAATATTTCTAACGAGTGTTAGGGTAGTATGTTCAGTGGTTTTAAGGGAAGGGGTCGAACATATGAATTGTTAACGCACAACGACAGACGTAGGCGGATGACAATAGCTCACATGATAAATCATATCGGCTATAAAGCGTCATGCACAAGGTTCCAAGTCTAACTAAAAGATCGCCGATATTTGTTTGTGATCTAACACCCCTTTGTAGTCGTGATTACCATCAGATTTATACTTCAGTACATGTTAAAAGTTCCTCTGTACTCACCAGCAGCGTTAAAAACGTCATTTTCTACCTTTATTTCTAAGTACTCTACCTACACCATCATGCATACCGATGGTTCGAAGGTTTTGGATACAGTCGTTGTAACTTGAGGTGTTGTGGGTGCCATCTCCCCATCTTGTCGACTTCCTGCTGGCTCTTCAATCATCAAACCTTTTTATCACATAATGTACTTAATTATATGACTGGTGCTAACTCCCAGTCCTGATTGGAGGAGCAACGTCATGTGACGAGTCTGTAAATATGTTACAGCCCTCGTTCTATGAATAGAAAAAGTGTTATAGAGTCTGTAAATATGTTACAGACCTCTTTCTATGAATAGAAAAAGTGTTATAAGAGTCTGTAAATATGTTACAGACCTCGTTCTATGAATAGAAAAAGTGTTATAGACCTCGACCTATAAATAGAAAAGTGTTAATGACGGCTACTCAAAATAGCCCTAGGTAATTTCCCAGCAAGTCTGTGATTCTGTTACCAATCACACTACTGAATTCAACTACAAATGAATTATCTCATCAAATTCCTTCGGCCTCTGTGAATATTGTTCAGACCAGGTTCATAAATCAGGGACAGACCTCACCTGAAGTCCATAATTGTATAGTGTTACCCAGTGAATATACCCATGTCATATTTTTTGCGTATTAGGCCTAACCCATGTAATATGACCTATCAGTCCTGTGATTGGTTGAAAGTTTCAATTGTTTCAATTGTGACGTCACGCCTAGGACAAATACATGACGTCATAGACTTAGGCACTGGAGTTAAAATGGCGGCTTTTTACATTTCAAGGTTGCATGAAAATTGTCGTTTTATTCGAGTAAATGCCACAAATCTTGATTATGTGATAAACATGATCTTACAATCGTTTTCATTTCATATGAAATTGATGGAACTCGTCACGGATTTTTCATTTTAGCTCGCCAGAGGCTCCTAAATTGAAAAATTCTAAGACTCGTTTCATAAATCTCTTATGAAATGGAAACTCATGTAAGATCCGATATTAATGCACCGATTCAAAACATCAACCACTAAAAATTGTTTGATACACTTTCTGTCTCATAAGTATGTAATTACATATGTGTGTAACAATCGATATTAACCGCCGAAACAATACAACATATAATAGCATTGTTGTTTGCTCGGTCCTGAATGACCTAAATTGTCGATGCGATGAACCACAAAACAGTATAAAACAGATACATCATATTACTGTGCAGATTTATTGTTCAGTGTGAAGCTGTATGTATAACATTCCTGATATCGTTGGTACATTGTACATCTACCAATAACCCGCTCCAACCGACACGTAATTTGGTACGTAGCTGTCTGCCGTCATATCCGTCCTTTCGACATGATGACGTAAACTGGTCTTCTCCTGTTTTACTATGATACCATCGCGTAGGGTCTATTCGTACACAAACTTGGAGGTACATGTCCCCATCTTTTGCCTCACAAGTTCATCGAATTCCTCGCTCTGGGCCACAGTGAACCAGTTTTTCCAGTCTCCTATTTGACCTGTAGTGGAAGTTAACGTTATTTTTAGTTACCACATGTATGCGCTATAAACAATTATTAAGATAGACGAAAACATTTCATTATATAAACGTCTGTCGTTGAAGTTAAAACTTGTTTTCGGTTTATATAGTTATAAAGGCACATAAGGTTTAAATGTAGAAAATTTGATAAACATAGGGATTGAATCTGGTTTTTTTCCAATGTTCATGCAAGTATGAACGGGGGAAAATGTACTTACACACCACATGAGTGGCCGTTCATTTGAAGTGTCTGAGTGCATGAACACTGGAAAAATCCAGATTCAAAGCCTATAATTCCAAATCACTAGTAATGGGAAGGAAAACCAAAAACATCATTTGAATTGCGATTTTTTTTCATTCCTTCATAAGTGTAGTAATATGACGTAACATCGCAACGTCATTTCTGGGATCTCGAAACTATATTACGCGAAGATTTTCCAACTGCCGCTTTATCCGGCTCGAGCAACGTTGTTTAATAAAATAATTGAAGAAACAGAGGTTTAATTTCCGAATGAGCTATAATTTAACTTAGGCGATTCTACATGGAGAAAGTTATCAGCAGTGTACGTTGAAGTCGAGGGATGATGATTCTGGAGAACGGCCCTGGTTCGAGGAAAGCGGTGTTTATTATGACGGAAAGTGTCGTAGCTACTGTAGACTCGTCATGTGGTTTGTGTCATGGATCATTCATGGATAAAAAATATGAAAGAACTTTAATTCGTATGTCATGGAAGGAACATGATGTGTCGTAATTCCAACCCCGGGGTTCGGTTGTTTGTAGTTTCGGCCTTGTTATGTGCGGCGTGTGCGTTCCGGCGTGTGCGTTCCGGCGTGTGTAGGCCTAGGCCTAGTGTTTACATGCCGCTTTCGTCATGTTCGTAGAAATTCATGGATAATACAGTAAAACTGTTATGTGTAAGTACATCCAGATTAATTCCTTATATCGCCACTAATTTGATCACTGTGCGGACCCAATCTGACGTCACCCAATCAGCGTTTCCATTTTTTGCGAATGTCAAGACCCATCTCGGATCAAGCCTTTTGCAGTATCTTACACGTCAAATGAATATTTTTTGTCATTTTATTAACATTTTATAATGACCATTTGAACTTATATGAAAACAAGTATTTCTATAGGGTGAATAAATTCCTATAGTCCAAAACAGAATGCATAGTCGTCGCACGCGCCATCTTTTAAAAACGTAAACAAAACACTGACTTTTGAGTTTGAATAACGTTTTCTGGTGCTATTTGAACCTAAACACTAACCATCTGTGGACAAAAATGGTGCATGGCTATCTATTCGAAGGCTACACCATTGTTATAGCTGATCTGCTGACACATTTATTGATTTCAAAGTATTTTTGCAAAAAGTGATCCGATTTGGGTACTGATCTGATTTGGGTGGGTACTGATCTGATTTGGGTACTGATCTGATTTGGGTACGAGGACAGAACTTCTCACTGTTGTGAGTATGGTCAACTGTCGATTGAAGTTATTTCTTTTAAAATCCCTACTACATGAGATAATGAAAAAAAAGACAAAGAAACATAAAAAATATTAATGATAAATAAAAATAATAACAGTAAATCTTGTTTTTTTTCACGTCGAGTATAGTTTTTGCAATGGGAGGCCACTCGAACGACAATACTGATAAATGGGGATTTAGAAAATTTTGAAAGTTGTCCGTTGGAAAAGCAGCCGTTCATACTAATATCAACAGCTGTTTTTGGGTCACATGTGCTACTATTGACCAAATCACAGAACCTGTAACACAGTGCAAAATGAAATTTGGGAATTATACAAGTATATCAAGGGATTTGTTTTAAGTAACAAAAGTCAGAAGGGGAAATCTTAATATCTCAAAGGAAAGGGTCTCAACAACACTTCTTTATCGCGTTTAACGTGATATTCTCAATTAAATTAATTGAAGCAATTCTTCCCAAGATATCCAAGAACAATGGTTTAGTTTGTGTTAAAAAGATGAAACTAAGGTGACTGGAATGGGGTCAACGGTAAGTTGTTTGAGGTGTCACACATTTAGGCGTCCTGAAAATTAAATTTTACTGCTTTTTTCTTTGTTCTTAAATTAAAATAAAACACATATTATCGAATTTCTGATGTATCAAATATGTAATATTTCAGTCGTAATTGCGTAAAATATCACTTTTTGTATAAAACTCGACATGATATGAATGAGGTCACAGATGCAATGTGTTGGCAAAGTGACATGGTTTGTTGACTGAAGTTGATTGGTGACCTTGACCTACCCTTTCGGTATAACAGTTGATAGTCTGATACAGAGGGGTGAGCCTCGTTCTTATTAAGTACAGCCTTTCTCATGTTTTTGAAATCACATTTTTCTGCTATCGATCTGACAAGTTGTGTGTCTGATTGAATCTTGAGGAATTCTGCAACCTTTTGAACTTGAGCAACAGGATTCTGAAATATGAAGAGAAGCACATAACGGACATTTTTGGAATATCATATTGACTACCGAAGAAAACCCAAGTATTTTAAATGTAAAAGCAAAGGAAGGGCGTGGAAGTCCCGAACCGTCCCGGGAACCTTACGATACGGGAACACATTATAACTGTATATTTGTTTTTCATATCAATTTTCTTTTTATCATTATTTAATATCGACTATTATATAAGCACACCGCCGTATGCAGCTACATGTATCAAATATATTGGATCAATTAGAAAAATATATCTTAATTAAACCGTATACTTTACTTGTTTCTTAGTATTAAACTATTAAAAGAAAATATACGCCAAAGCAAGCATCCTATACAATTAATACGTTATAATAGAGGCCCTTGTGGAATGGACGTACGCACCTGTTTGAGATCCTCGTACATAAGGGACAGTATTGGAACCCGGTGTGATGTATCCTCTATAAACTCTTGCCACTCCAGCGTGTAGTCGAACCAGCTTTTGTACCCAGGTCCTAGAAAACAGCACCACATTACCTTCTAAGGTCAGAGCAAGAGCAAGGTTATTGTCCTTTACCGTTCTTTATCATCAATGTTCGATAAACACTATTCAAGTTTGCAATCTTACTCGTTTTATTTAAAACAAAAGTACGCAATTATATTCAGTACGTAGATATCAGTTAACGATACTCGAATAGTACATGTTCCTACTGCCACTCGACCATCCAAGAGCACGTGCCAGCCAGTAGTTAATGTAACACCTCGTCTTTATATATGTTAGACGAGTCGGTGTATTAACTGCATACTAATTTAAAACATGAATATATATAATGGGTAACACTGTATGCAAAAAGTTTGAATAATTTCATGGGGTTATTTCAAAAGAAATATGAATTAAAGTTATTAAACAGCTACTTTTACGCATATCAACTACGAATATTGCATTTGAAGGTAGTGCAAAAGTTTAGCTGTGACGTCACTCACCTCTACCCTTCATGAAAAGGTCTATAAAATCTCCACAGTCATCCTCAATACCATATATCTTGAGGTTCTTCATGTGATGAAAGTAGGACACTGCAGTATCCTTCGGATTTCTCTGCAGGAATATGATTTTGCATTTTTTGTCGCGGATTTCTGTCGGAAGATGGCGCCACGTGAAGTGAGAGTTGAAGACACGTGGGGATTCCAAGTTTTCGAATTCTTTTGGGAAGTGGAAGTCGATCATGTTTTCTTCCTTGACGGTTTTGTCGTACTCCGCCGATCCTCTCAGGAGCATGTTGACGATCTCCCACATCCAATGTGTACCTAAAACAAGCGACGTGTACATGTCAGCCGTCAGTATACAGAGGAAAGAAACACAATCTTATTCTATCGAAAAAATCATCGTTTGTAAAAAACTAAATCCTAACGTTTTGACAGTAAAATTCACAAGCTTCATATGTTTTGCAGCAAAAATACAAACCTGCTTTTACATAAGCACATATAAAGATGTCATCTGTGCGCATGGGCATATCTTTCAGGAGTTTCAGAGTGGCCCTCAGGTCGGGTACTTGGCCAACCTGAACGTTATGCAAAGTTCGAAACATGTCGTCAACCTGCACGCACGCCACCTCGCGGCCTTTCCTGTCATACTGTCTGACTATCTCGGACTCTGTGATGTCACCTATACGGAAAACAGATGCAGTGTTACATATTTGTTTGAACAGAAAAAGTTAACAAAATAAATAGAAAATAGTTTAAGAATCATTGGTGTTTGTTTGGCCTTTTTTGTCCCGTAGAAATAACACCAGGAAAAACGTGACGTTTTCTTTTTATTAGGATTAGTTCTATTCTGGTCAATCACTTCCGGTAACGATGGAATGACTCTCTTAAAGGTCAACATACAAAACAATTTCTAAATTGGAGTTGATAAAACAAAAGTTCGTAATAAATTAAAATATGATATACAAACCCCAAATATATTTCCCGTTCACCTTTTCAGAGCTCATTCTACAGTAGTACTGTAGCGAACAAGGTCACATCTAAGTTCACGTGCAGTGTACGTGTAGTCAAGTAGTTATGCCTGGTGCGAGTACAGTCTTCAACACGTGGCCTGTGAATAGTCATAAAATGGAAACAATGTACCGATATTCTAGAATATCATGCATAGCTATGTTTTTCTCCGTTCGTTACTTAAGGACACATATTAAGATTATTAGAAGTTTGCTTGTTGTCTATATGGTACATGTACATATTTCTTTCCGTTTATATATGTTACATTGTACTTATGTAAGAAAACGTATTATATTACACACGCAAAGCCGTGATTTGAATTTTCTTTAGTGTCCACGAAACAGAAAAAATCCCTGATTCTGCAAGGCCCCTTCATCTGTCGCCTCTGACCACTGTTATGGCACGATTTATCACCCGGGTGAGATATCGTGCTCGGGTATAAATCGTACTGGGGTGAGATATCGTGCTCGGGTATAAATCGCACTGGGGTGAGATATCGTGCTCGGGTATAAATCGTACTGGGGTGAGATATCGTGCTCGGGTATAAATCGTACTGAGGTGAGATATCTTGCTCGGGTATAAATCGTCCTGGGATGAGATATCGTGCTCGGGTAAGAGTCGTACTAGGAGTGATATATGATGTTCGGGTTAAAATCGTACTGGGGTGAGATATCGTGCTTGGGAAAGAGTCGTACTGGGGTGAGATATCGTGCTTGGGTAAGAGTTGTACTGGGGTGAGATATCGTGCTTGGGTAAGAGTCGTACTGGGGTGAGATATCGTGCTTGGGTAAGAGTCGTACTGGGGTGATATATCGTCTTCGGCTAAGATTCGTACTACGGGTAAGATATCGTGCCTGGGTAAGAGTCGTACTCGGGTAAGAGTCGTACTAGGAGGAGATATCGTGCTCGGGTAAGAGTCGTACTAGGAGTGATATATCGTGTTCGGGTTAAAATCGTACTGGGGTGAGATATCGTGCTTTGGTAAGAGTCGTACTGGGGTGAGATATCGTGCTCGGCTAAGATTCGTACTACGTATAAGATATCGTGCTTGGGTAAGAGTCGTACTCGGGTGAGATATCGTGCTCGGGTAAGAGTTGTACTACGAGTGAGATATCGTGCTCGGGTAAGAGTCGTACCAGGAGTGAGATATCGTGCTCGGGTAACAGTTGTACCAGGAGTAAGATATCGTGCTCGGGTTAGAGTCGTACTGGGGTGAAATATCGTGCTCGGGTAAGAGTCGTACTGGGTGAGATATCGTGCTCGGGTAAGAGTCGTACTAGGAGTGAGATATCGTGCTTTGGTAAGAGTCGTACTGGGGTGAAATATCGTGCTCGGGTAAGAGTCGTACTGGGGTGAAATATCGTGCTCGGGTAAGAGTCGTACTGGGGTGAAATATCGTGCTCGGGTAAGAGTCGTACTAGGAGTGATATATCGTGCTCGGGTAAGAGTCGTACTGGGGTGAAATATCGTGATTGGGTAAGAGTCGTACTAGGAGTGATATATCGTGCTCGGGTAAGAGTCGTACTGGGGTGAAATATCGTGATTGGGTAAGAGTCGTACTGGGGTGAGATATCGTGCTTGGGTAAGAAACGTACTGGGGTGAGATATCGTGCTTGGGTAAGTGTCGTACTGGGGTGATATATCGTGCTTGGGTAAGAGGTACTGGGGTGATACATCGTGCTTGGGTAAGAGTCGTACTAGGGTGAGATATCGTGCTTGGGTAAGAGGTACTGGGGTGAGATATCGTGCTTGGGTAAGAAACGTACTGGGGTGATATATCGTGCTTGGGTAAGAGGGACTGGGGTGATACATCGTGCTTGGGTATGAGTCGTACTAGGAGTGAGATATCGTGTTTGGGTAAGAGTCGTACTGGGGTGAAACATCGTGCTTGTGTAAGAGTCGTACTAGGAGTGAGATATCGTGTTTGGGTAAGAGTCGTACTAGGGGTAAGATATCGTGCTTTGGTAAGAGTCGTACTGGGGTGAAACATCGTGTTTGGGTAAGAGTCGTACTAGGAGTGAGATATCGTGCTTGGGTAAGAGACGTACTTGGGTAAGATATCGTGTTTGGGTAAGAGTCGTACTAGTAGTGAGATATCGTGCTTGGTTAAGAAGCATACTAGGAGTGAGATATCGTGTTTGGGTAAGAGTCGTACTAGGGGGAAGATATCGTGCTTTGGTAAGAGTCGTACTGGGGTGAAACATCGTGTTTGGGTAAGAGTCGTACTTGGGTAAGATATCGTGCTTGTGTAAGAGTAGTACTAGGAGTGAGATATCACGTTTGGGTAAGAGTCGTACTAGGGGTAAGATATCGTGCTTGGGTAAGAGTCGTACTGGGGTGAAGCATCGTGCTTGGGTAAGAATCGTGGCGTTACATATACGACTTGCAGCGGGCTACTGTTGGTACATTTATTGTTTCCCCGAACCTGTGCATGTATTTATCGGTTTCGTCTAGGAATCTAAGATTTCATGGCAACTCGTACATGGCAGACTAAACACTGGCTGGTTAAACCTTGGATAACAATACATGTAGGTTTATACAAAATACGGATTTGTTGTTAGATATGAACTCAAGTTGTTAACCTCCTAATTGGAGTGTCATTACATGTACATCTCAAAATTGCGACGAGCTTTCACGCTTTAAATGCGACATATCTGGCGTTACAGCTGTACATTATCAGCTGATTATACCGCCGCAAGCCTTGCTTGCTGACATGAGAAATTATACCGAAACCAAATTTAGTTACTTCCCTTTGAACTTTAAACCCTGTTGTACAGAAATGTTACCACATACATGGTCTGGTTTTCTCGATACTATTGTTGAGGAATATGGAATACACAGCGTTAGTATCAGTTCGATACCCAGTGTGTTGTTCCTGACGTACCTGGTTCTGTTTACATTGCACACCGCAAGTGCACTGTCACGACGTCTTCTCGGCTTAGTATACTGTGAGTGCACTGTCACGACGTCTTTTCGGCTTAGTATACTGTGAGGGCACTGTCACGACGTCTTCTCGGCTTAGTGTACTGTGAGTGCACTGTCACGCCCTCTTCTCGGCTTAGTATACTATGAGTGCACTGTCACGACGTCTTTTCGGCTTAGTATACTATGAGTGCACTGTCACGACGTCTATTCGGCTTAGTATACTGTGAGTGCCCTGTCACGACGTCTTCTCGGCTTAGTATACTGTGAGTGCACTGTCACGACGTCTTTTCGGCTTAGTATACTGTGAGGGCACTGTCACGACGTCTTCTCGGCTTAGTATACTATGAGTCCACTGTTACGACGTCTTCTCGGCTTAGTATACTAGCTATGAGTCCACTGTCACGACGTCTTCTTGGTTAGTATACTGTGTCACGCGGTTCCTGTCGTATGCGAGCAGCCATGTGTATTTGATTGTACGGTATGTTTACATGGACTTATCGAGGTCGAGATATTGATAGCGGTTTGTGGGCTGACTCCGATAGCGGACAGCCGGTGTATAAAGAAAGGGTCAACGCCTATGGAGATTTAACATTAGCGTTGACCCCCGCTTGGAAGTACAAAAGAAGATAAATACAAAAAGGTATGGGTATTGGAAGCTTAAATTAGGAACAGTTAGTTTCAGAATTCATTTAAGGATAAATGGGACCTCATTGACTTACACCTGTGTGGGTATTAAAGGTGCGGCAATACAATTCCTCCTAGAGCATTTAAATGACACATTTACTATAAAATTATGTCATCATCGTGTGCAACATATTCCAACTGTTATTTTGATACCGGATAGTACACTATTTAAAAAGAGAGTTGTTCTTTTTATGGAAGATTTAAGCAGAAAAGTATGAAATTTCATTACTAATGAGAAAATTTCCATTTTCGAAACGTTATTTTACATAGTTCTAAAGCTAGTCTATTTTTCATACTTGCTTAAAAGTTGGCTACCAATAATATCTTTTAACATCAGGAATTTCGAAAAAAATGACAACCGGTAAATTTGTCATATAAGACTTTTGATTCAAAAAAAGAAAAATATAGCTTTCTTACCTCTTTTCCTTTAACTTGTGTTTCTTCATGACCAAAGGTCCTTGGGTCTTGATATTTGACAAGTAGGTTGTTCATGTGAATGGATTTCAATTTTGTGAACGTTGATGATCTTGACCTTCGTTCAAGGTCACAAAAATCAAATGTGTTGAAATATTTTTTTTGTATGGGTAGTAAGACAAGGATATCTTTCCTTGCGTTATTTGTTTAGAGTTAACGATATAAAATAATGTAATATTCCTTCATATTTTGTTTAATGAATGGGCAATATGTCAAATAAAATAATAACTAGAGCTGTAAGCCAAAGACTAACTAATACCCCCACTCCTATATAAACCAGAACTGTAAGCTAAAGGCTAACTAAGGCAAAGCATTGCAAAGCAATCCATCTGTTAGCCCAGATAAAGCAAAGCAATCCATCTGTTAACCCAGATAAACCAGTTTTGCTGAAATCGTCCTAGTAGTTAAGTTCGCACTGTTCTTCCAGTCGTTGTAAGTCTTCGACTTGTGAGACTGTCGTACATCTTCTTGTTAAGGAAAAGTTGTTTTAAAAAAGCTATAACTCCTTAAAAAGGATCGAAATGAAAAAAGTGCTTCCCTGCTGCACGTACCCTGGGATACGCACGTAACTACCATATCTGTAAACATTCATTGAAATCGGCCTAGTAGTTTATAAGGCAGACAAATGTCTGGATGCACACCGTCAGGTGGAAGTCATCATATCTGAAAACTTTTGTTGAAATTGATCCATTACTTTAGAAGTAGTTGTCAGGACAAACTTTTTCTACGGACAGACAGACGGACAGACAGGCTGATTCCAGTATATCCCCTAACTTGGTTGCAGGGGGTATACTAAAGTGTATAATAGTTTTACTATTCAGATTATTTATTGTTTTTATATAATTGCATATCTTTGTCTATAGCACAATCTCATCCTTAAGTAGTTCTCCAGAGGAAAGACTACTTTGGCAGAATACATATTCGTGACTTATTACTGCTGCACATATCTTTAAAACATGAGCAATATAAAAAAGTGTTTTGGTATGACACAAAAACAGAAACAGTTTCGGTATTTACATGCACATTAGTGTACCATACTAAACATTGATAATCAAATCTTCAAGACTATGTGAAATTGAATGATCATGTTTGGCATGCTAAAAAGTACTTTACCGGTTTTTATATTTCATGAAAATGATTCAGTAGGCAGAATACATATATGGAAAGTTTTTAAAGAAGTTTAAAATATAGACTACCACTGTAACTTTATATAGGCAAGTTGACAATGTTGATTATATTCTAAATTTTATGAAAATTTTGCATGTTTTTCTAATTAAAAGGATCACTACGCTTACTTCAGGTATACCAATATGACATGTTTATTATCAAAATAACAGTAATTTTGTACACTGTACACTATCATAATTCATTTTCAGAATAACATTTGCCTGTGACATTTATCTGTCATTTTGTTAGGATAACCCCGTCACTCAACCTGGTGTTATGTAAGGATATCAGTGGCAACTATAATTAACCATTTATACAGTTAATGATCGTTTGTATGTATCTACATATGGCAAAAGAATAAAAGAAAAACAAAGTGGGGGCCAAATGTTGACCGCACCTTTCGAATGTTATTGGAGTTCGGTTTCAGGTTCGGTACGTAGGAACAGGATTATCAATAAAGTGTATTTGAGTACTGTCTATTTCGAGTGTTTGTAAAGGACCACACCTGATTGTGTATGTACATGACGGGTCACTCTAATGCAAGTGTTCTTGACATATTAACCTTGGCTTTATGTGACCTTTCATGCTAAATATACGCACGCAGCTAAGGTTATTGTGAATCGTACCCCTAAATACAAAATATAGATACCAATTTGTACCAGTATTTTGAGAGTTGTATGTCTTCATACCTTTCATATATGACACACGCGTGAGCAGACACGAACTTAAATCGAGTGGCGACACGTGATCAATATAGCCTCATTCTGATCACAACCGGAGATCGCTAAGCGTGTAACAATACCAAAGGTATACTGGTGGACAGTAACAAATAAAGCAGTTTTAAAAATAGTTCACTATTACCTAGCTGAAAGAAAACGAGAATATTCAGTCTAGTTATGCCGATACAAAACTATGGCTAGGATACAGACTGACCTGCTCTACGATATCTGGACCAAATAAAGGACTGGTGCAAACTCCCAGAGGTCAAAAGGTGACTGCGATAGCGAAGTGTCCAACTATACTACTTGTCCCTATAGCAAGGTCTTTTGTAGATCTTTATATTAAACACTATCGAGAGCGAAACGGTACCAACGTCTAATCATTATTTTGAGCGGGAGCCGAGGCTAGTGTTCATATCACTTAATCGGGTTATGTCAACAATTTCATCGATGCTCTTACAGTTATCTCCCTTGCACCACATAAATCGACAAAAACGCTCCCATTTTTACATAAGGGTAAATTTAGGAGGTTACCTATTTCGTGTAAAAACAAGCTTTCCCCCAATAATCTTATTTTGCTCGGTATATGGGAAACAGCTACGGATTTTTGTGTAGGGGACTACTTTTATATCCAAGTTTTTTTTCGCAGTGAATTAACATTGAATACAGTCGTTCTAAAATTGCGAAGTATACCCCTTCCAGTACTTTATATTATTTTGGTATATAAACCAATCAGTGTTCTTCAGATTTTTAAAGCGGATATGTTTTCAGTAAGTTTGTATGCACCTGTTTCCTCGTACATTACATTTTGTACACGCGTCGTAGAGGAAATAAATACTGACAGTCACCTGATGAAGCAGACTTAAACTGACCTGTGAAAGTAGAGCTCTAGGCGTTACATTATTGGTGTTATGTTCCACAACAGTAATAAAACTGTCACGAGATACAAGCCTCCGTGTAAATCTTCAATATTACCCTATGTCATCATTACTGAGTATCAAAATAATGATATCCTTTATATTATTTAGTGTGAATGTTGAAACAACTGGGATGGAATTCTCTCATTTATACTTATATTTACCTAAACAAAGCCAATGAACTTCTTTTCAGAAGCAATTAGCATTTATAATTGGGGTTGACGTCACTGTAAGTTGATAATGAAAAACAGGTGCATTTTAAAACTTGGTCAAAAAACATCAGATAAAAATATGAAACATTACCACCACCTAATACATTGGCAGTATTTATATATTTTATAGTAAATAGACACTGATATAATTAAATTCTACATCAGCCTTCTTTACACTGTAAGAACCACATTCTTAATATTTTAACTAATCGGATTAACTGACGCACTTCCTTGTGTGGTTAAGGTCAAACTACAACGTACAAATGATCATTTTGGGGCGTTTTACTTTTCCGAATATTTGATTTGTTATTAAATAAAACGTCATTTTATGTTCAGGGGAGGATTTGCGTGCATGAGATGCGTGTTTGTGTAAAACACGTTGTTAGGCTTCTGAGTATGTGTCCTAATATACAGTATACTGGTATTATTTACGTTTACTATTTTAAACGCATGCCACGAGGTATTGTTTAGTTGTTACCATAGAAACAACAAACCAAACAAAGTGACCCTTCTTCAAGATAATGTAACACATGTTTTATAATGTCTCGTTTCTCAACGTAATATTAATACATGTTTGTAACAACGTATACACAAGCCTATGCTGTTAAAATAGAATTCTAAACGTAATAAAACAATCCAAAGCATTCAACAGATGTCCCAGACAACACGCCAACCTTTATATAATTAAGGGACCTAAGGTGATGATGATGTTGATGAGGTCACGCTTGCCACATGTTAGCATTTTTAGTTTTGTTTATTTTTTGAATGAATTTGTTTCCAGCAAGGAACAATTCATGTTAGTCCTGTTAGCTGTTGTAATGGCAAACAAGTGTAAACACCACTCAATATATTCATACAGAAAACACAATATTTACATAGTTGCAGTCAAACAGACAGCTTCATCATTACAACAAGATACTTCTTACAGCATAGATCAGTACATGTATATTATTGATATTATTGATGAAGTTTCCGTGCAGTTAAATCAATTGAATAGCACTGTGAAAGTTATTCCGCAAAAGATTAAAAAAAAAGCATTCGTCAAACATGTACATGTAAATATGCAGTTCGTTTTTTGTCAATGGAATTGTATCAAAAATGAATAGTTCAGAAAGAAAAATCGGAGATTCCTTTCCTGTTGGTTAGATCTCCTTGTTAACTTTCTTTTATTAGGGTCAGCATTCAAATAACACTTAAGATCATTTAGATATGTACATGTACCTCGATGAGTTCAGTAAATGCCCTGTTTGTATGTAATTTTCGCCGAGGTTTGTTGGAGTATTTGTCTCCATGCGATAGCGCGGATCTGATTT